CTATACTACTATTTATACCATTATAGAAAGGGAAATTATGTATATTACGGTAGATATCAGTGTATACAGTTCTAGATTCCAGTAATAAAAACTGGGACATAGTAGATAGAAGTAATGCGAAAACGTATAAACATTTTTATGTTTATAGCAAAAAAATCTTTACGTCCCGGATATCCGAAAGGTCTAATCTGATATTCTTACTGTTACAACAGAAATGTTTTTACCAATACAGTAGTACGTTTCTCAACTCAATTTACGAGTTTTTAACGCACTCTATACCCACTGCCGCAAACGATTTGTAATTGTAATTTACTTAAGTGTGGTTATTCTTCGTATAGGAGCGATAATTTAAAACGCGAGCTTCCACGTGCAAATACCAGCGGTTCGTAACGCAATTCATCTTATGGGTTTCGTAGCCAATATTCGAGCCCACTTATTGCCAAGTTTCTAATAAAGTACCTACCTACGTTGCCCCTACTACTAGTAATTTTGCTCGACAATATTTTTCCGTCTAAATAGACTTTATTTAGGTACTAAGTCAGTTTGACAGACAAAATTTAGGGGAGGCTGCTCTAAATATATCCCACAGGGGACCTCCGCTACAGCAGTTTTGGTACAGTACTTACCGTAGTTTGCTGTTTTATCACTTCGAGAAATACCGTGGAGGTACTGAGACAGTTGATTGATTGATCCCTTATAGAACCTACCTAGGTAGGTAGGTTCTATAAGTGATCAATCAATTCGAAGTGTTGTAGAAAATTTGTATTTAAGAGAGATATATTTTGCACGAACAAAATACGTATGTTAATATAATTAATATCAGAGAAACGAAACTTCACCACAATAGAAATCTAATACTAACATTTAATCTTCTGTAATTTAATTTATTTGTAAATCATTAAGAATCGTAATTTATATGCCTCCTGAATATGGGGCGAAAATTTGTACCTAACACGTGTGGATCTATACTAATAATAATAATATTTACTCCACAGAAAATTTACATGATTTACAATGTAACAGAGCATTTGGGCGTATAAATTTAACACTATGCCCTGTAGAAGCAAACGCGAGTAATTTCGTTAGTCTGTATACCTATATAGTATTTACTATACAATTGTGTAAAAGCACATCGTCTGGGAGTATACCTACCGTCGGTTACAAAATGCACTTTTCTTGTAAAATTAGTAGAAAGTAAAAGCATTTGTATAATGAAATAACAGCTCAACACGACGCTCTCCTTATTTAGTAGTTGATTATATTAATCAATATATATACTCTTATTCAATACCACCCGTTACATACTAAAGTAAGAACTCGTAATTCTGTCTATCTTCATATCTAATGTCATTAAGATCTGTTCAGCCGTTCAATGGTGAAAATGCAGCAAACAGAGAGACATGCACTCGCGAATTTATATGTATGGATATAAATGAATCGAGTCTCAGCTTGTGTGATATAGCGGTTTATTTAATTAAAATGAAGTCATACTAATTTACCTATGATACGCATAATTTTGCCAATTCTAATGTAAATTTGAAATCGACTCTCTCAGTTGTGTTATTCAGTTCTGAATTTTGGGGTAATTTAATAATGCAAATACAAAATTTTCAACCGATTGCCAAAAGGAGTAAGTTATCTCGAGGTTATCGTTGTTTATTAAGTTAGTAGATATTTTTTATCATAAATCAAAACATTTCGATGATACTTAAAACATTTTTAATAAGGTTAATTAATAAATTGATTTACACATAATCATAATTATTAGAAGTGCCACTACTGTGTTCAAGTCTTCCAAGGATAAATAACTACAGAGTTTTCCATTAGCTTTCTCAACATATATAATATTGAAAGAAAGTTTTATCTAGAGTCGTTGTTTATTTGAAATGAAAAATATAAAGATATTATAGTACTATGTGTTACTGATAATAAAAAGGAATTATTAATATAAAAGGCTCTAAATCCATTTATCCTATACTGCGTTTAATATTAATCTAAAGATTTAAATTATAAGATAACAATTTGTTGAAACAAGAATAACAAAAAGTTTCCCCAATGATAAAAGAACAATCATTCCCTTTCCCGAAACAATGTAGGTTTCTGAGACCTGAAAATTCCGTTACAAAAACGCTTGCTGTTTATTATTTTTTAAATTATTGTCTGTTGTTTGTCTTCTTTGCATTTTACTTTTTTATTTGTATTTTTATGTCATTATTTTTCTTTAATTAGTATTATGTGTAGTATAATAAAATGATAGCACTGGAAATGTATGTATATTTTTATTATTATCGATTTAAATATGATTAAAAAATCCCAACCTAAAGGATTCTGGAATTTATATTTGCCTGTTGTTTTGTCATCATTATAATACTCTTAAATTAATCTTGGTAAAAAGATATAATTGAATGGTTATTGGTACTATTTAAATACTGCCGTAACTAGTCGATAGTCGATTATAGCTCTTCATTATATGCAAGAATGGCTTTCTTAATTGAATATGTAAAAAATCGTCCTTTTAATACGCACTGCCAAGGAGTGGTACATACTTCTAGCTTTTGTGTTCCAGAAATACAGCCCTGGATTCTTCAAGTCTATGGTGAATAGATATCTTCTGTGTAAGCGCGCTACATCCTAGGTCTTGCCATCATGTATCATCAGATGAGGTGATGAGGGATGTATGGGGTAATAATGATGAATGAGTAATGATGGAGGTAATGAGGATAACCAAGCGAAAACCCAGTATTAATAAAAAAATCTGTTTTACAATTACATTTATTACAATTTTATTTCTAATAAATGAAATGTTGTTCTTTATAGGTACATAGGTACTTATTACATTAGAAAACATAAGTAAATATATGGTTCCATCCGGACCTTGACATAAGAAACTGTAGGTATATTTTTTTTATCGTAATATTTCAATTACGTTATGAAAGAGTGCATAGATAGATCGTGTACTGAGAAAATATTAATTAACGAAACAGGAAAAAAGCAGGAATTGTGTGGGAAGTTATATTGCATAGGATCTGTTTCTCTTTGCCCACATAAAAGAGACTTGCCATGAAGACGGGTATTAAATAACGAATAATTATTTTAATCCTTTAATCACGAAATTAAATAAATAATTATTAATTTAGTAATATATTTAATGGAACGTGTTCAACTTCCCTTAGTTGATTACTTATTAGATTCGTTACGGGATCAAGAACTAATTTAATATTCTGTGTGAGAATAAATTCAAAGGAGTTACTCAACTACCAAATAGAATTAACTAATCTCAATGGGTTTGATGAGAAAATGATAAACTAGGTTAGTGATGCCCTCTATGAAAAAATTAACGTGACGCAAAAATCAAATATTTACGACTAAATTTAGATTAAGTGACTTGAAAATGTTTAATTATATTTTATTTATGTTTTTTAATAACATAATGCATAACATAATTTTTTATTTAATTTATAACCTTATAAGTATGTAATTACGTAGAAATTAGTCATGCGTAATGTGGATATTTAAAAATATGTGGTATTTCTATGAGTTAGGTAAACAACAGAAGAGTTTAAATGAAAATTTCGCTTATTTACATTTAAAATAGTCTTAAGGATATAATGAGAAGCCTGTATAAAGTCTAATAACATTCTAGATCTTTCAAAGAATACTAATGCTCAAACGGCAACGGGAATAGAACCTCTACTTATTCGTTTTTGTATTGACTTTAACGTCTGAGTGATAAGTAAATACTTTGAATAAAAGTAAGTTCTATTTGTGTAAGGAATTAGATAAATTCGATACTTTTCCTAATAAAGTTACATCTTTATATAAGAGTCTTTCGTCTTCGTTTGCAAATGTTATTTAATATGGTACTCATCTGTATGTAATTTGAATACTTATCTTTGATGTCGTAGAGTCATTATTTTGTATTAAAATAATAATAATAAATACTATCATAATTCATACATATTATACAAATGATACGTAAATCAACAACTTTGTACTTCTTTAAATGAAAATTGCGCAGACATGTATAAATTTCGAATATGAAATGTGTAATTCTTGCAGACAAGGAATTCAGGGTCATAATTATTTTTTTAAATTATACACACACACGCATATGTACTCTTTACACACCAGTATATATATTATATTGGTTCAGATTTCTAGACATAGTAGTATAAGTGATTTCAGAGCTCGACGGCCTCGATGGTCTAGTGGTTTAGCACACCGCTTTACTTTCGATGGACGCGGATTTGATTCCTAGAACCGTGCAAACATTTGTATTCATGAGTATGTTGGTTTGTATATATCTGGGTGTTTTCTATGTATATAATTTATAAGAAAAAATATCTAATTTTTATATATAATAAAATATTTTTATTATAATTACCCATTACACAAGCTTTGCTTATGGCGGGACTAGATGGTGCTGTGTTAACTGTCCAAGGTTATTTATTATTATTATTAGTTATAGATTTTACTTGTTCTTTTGATAGCTAATATAAAAAATTATGGTGATGCTTGATGCATCACCATAATTTTTATTTTGATCTAAGCATTAATTTATAGGGATATGACTGTAAACAACTATATCACAATCTTGTATTGCAACAGATAAATAAAAATAAATACGTAATTAATAAATAAATGACAATGAATTGGTGAGTCTATCCAGTATTTTCCGGCAATGTGTAAGTGATGAATTGAAGAATGAGGTTGAAAGTTACTTAGTTAATTCATTCATTGGCTAAAGAGAAGTCTATGCTAGAATTTGTATGGATTCAAGTATCCATCGTGATAAATTTCCGTCAATCATGATGCCTCATATGATACGATACATTGCCAGCAATAGAGTAATAGTTCCCATTACTATCAATCGCTACCTTCCATATATGATATATTTGATATGCAATAAGCCCATATTGGGTGTCCTACGATAGCGTGCGATACGACACCTAGACACTTCAGCCTTCAGTTTCATTTCAGTTATCGCGCGCCTTCGACGCCGTAAACACGCGTCGCAACGACGCTCACGGCACGAGATACAGACGAACATAAACAAATACATACGTGATATACCTCAACAAACTTTTTATATAGTATGCAATGTGATTTGGGTATCATCCATAAGTTGCCGCATAGGGTTAAAGGTAAATTTAAAGTTTCGAAAATTTTAGATGAGTATATAATCTTTAGGGATTTTTGTGAAATAAAACTTTTATTGTTTTTGTTGTTCAGCAGTTGACTGTCTGTGAAAGGGCTGTAGTTTATTGCATCGACTAAATTGTACATTTAAATTGCCCAAAAAAAATTAATTCTATATTTTACTTAACATATATTATCTTACCATACCTAACATTTATGAGTTCCTGCAGATTAGCAGAAATTCAAATAAACAATGATATTATTATCCTTCAAATTCACTTGAAGATATATCCAGTAAGTGAAATTAATGATATTTCATAAACAAAATAAACACAATATGAGATTCTAAAACTATTATAAATTTTACACATACCTTAATCAACTTACAAAAAGATGTCCCAATTATATTGGGAATACGATCTTAAATATATATCCAATTATACCAAATCAAAATAATTAGAGTCGCCAGTTCATAGTTATACTGTTTATTGAAAATATCACTATGTTTCTTGGTCATATTAACATGAACAAATATTAATATTTTTCTTCAGATTTAAACAATGATACATGGTATTGAGAAGTTACACATTAAGTTAATTTGGATAAACAATATTCGTATTTTAATATCACACAGTAGTGAACCTATATAATCTTAATAAATAATAAAAATTATCTGCCTCATAAAAAGGTGCGAATAATTATTAATATCAGTGAAGGCAGTATAGAGTTAAGGTTGTCTGATGCTGCCCTGATGTTTATAGCAATAAAAGTTCATTATTATACTCGTATTTATATTTAATTGTAAATAAAATGCATATATCTACAGAGTATGCTTTTACAAATAATTCGTGTTTATCTATATTTTCTGTACATACATGTACATATAAGAACTCTAGTCTATTTATTTAAACAAATAGGGATATTACCTTCTTAGTAGCGTATATTGTGATATATTATTATTGTTAAAATTGACCATATTCAATGTTTCGTTTAACAATTAACAGTTTTTATAGATTACTATTTCTATAATATAAAACATATTTGTCTTATTCTTTCATCTGCCTTCTTACTTATTTATTTATAATTGTTATATATAGTGTAATAGTATGGTTTTATATATAACGTACGAGTTAAACAGTTGTGTAAACTGTTTAACTCGTACGTTATATATAAAACTTGTCAAAACGAACAGATAATTTATTTTGTGTATGTTAACTTATCATAATTATATATGTTAGAGACATACACAACATGAATTTTATATGAAAAAGCACCAAACAATTAATAACAATACGTACATATACCATATATATTACTTCATAATACATCCTTTTTTTTGTAATACGTTTTTGTCTCGAAACTGGAACGTGTAGTATTAAATTGATACTGGTACGAATTCGAAAAATATATATGTCCTAAATTAGAACTGAGTTATTAATTCTAAGAAATTAATTAAATAAATTTGACTGATTAAAGTATTCATATTCCTAGAAATACTCATTATTCAGTAGCTATGGCTATATTAATTAAATTTCTTCTACGGTTGTCATTTTAAAATCAATTACCTGACGGCCTATTATAATGAGTATTTAGAATGATCGCTGTGAGCATATATTTATTACGTAAAATTTGTATTTCTAAAAATACTTTGTTAAATTTATATTTCTAAGAAGCATTTAAAACATGACAAATATTTTTGTTTACGTTTAATATACAAAAAAAATCGTCCTAGGCCTTACTGAGCAATAGTACCAATGTGTGAGTGATATAGATACCAATTATATCTACCTATTTACTTGTTGTTCTTTGTTGAAATTACCAATTTATAGACCAAATAATTTGCTGTTTAGTTAAGATTAAAACTATTGTAAGGACTATAGCAATAATTTTAATATGTCATTCTCTAAATTTGTCTCTATGACTAATAATAGTCATCATTATGTGAAACATCTAAAGTAATATCGTGAAATGGGAAATGTATATTTTCAAACGACTAATAAAATTGGGAGATTCTCAATTCAACTGGATTTTTGTGTAAATAACTATATTGTTTCTGTATTTTTTCAATTGAAAGACTTTTCGTGTAGTCTCAAATAAATTTTCAGGATTACCCTTTTATTATTTTTGAGTTATTTATTATATTACAGTCTTAATTACGGGATGACTGAATATGGTGGCAAATGTCAATAATTATTAGGAGATGACATATCTTTCTATCCTCTTTCTTCGTATTTTTTCACATACGCCGTCATTACTGCCATTAACAAACACTTGCTATTCACGACAAAGCACGCTCGCTATCGGAAGCTCATAAATAATATTAGAATGGTAAATACTACGCTTTTATATAATATATAAATAACTGTGAATAACTATGAAAAAAGTTTAAAACCACGTTTGATATTTACCGATTTTGAAAGTATTATAGGCTCGATGTTAAGGAGGATCGCTAGCAAATGATAAAGAGCAAGTGTTTATTCTTCTTCATTTTCTCCAATATTTTTTATCATAAATGGATGGCTAAGGCTTTAATTGGTAAATAGTCTATAGGAAATGGCATTTTATTTCAAATGAGTGACAGAAAAAGCATTCTACAATTTTACGAATACGAGTACAATAGGGAACTACCACCATGTTTCATTTTAAGCCACTTGTAAAGATGTCAGTCGACGGCACGATGTTCGCACAACTCATTCATATTGTAATAGTCGTGGCAACGAAAATATAAATTCGCAGTATCCCGGCCCATGCCGAGCCTCCTGTATGCATTGAATATTGTATTTGTAGTGTGTAAGGGAATCCGGCTTTTGTGATGTTATTCGATATCGAAATCAATTTTGAATAGGAATTAGGTTTTATTAATTAAAAATATACGTTACGTATTTGTCTCGTACTATGCTGTTGACCGCAGCTGGCTTTTGGCTGGATCCTTATCTTGTACGGGATTTTACCTATTTCTACCAGCTAGTTCTGTAAGCAGTTTCGGTTTAAATGGTGTGTAAGCTGCTTGGCGGCTGATATAGGTGAGACTAAGGTATCCAAGGAGACTACATTTTACAAAATATATCCCGATAAAACATAGTCCGAAAAGATGTACAATACAGGTTTAACTAATCGGAAATCTTATTGAAATCAGATATCCAGAAGAATTTGTGGTTTAATTCACAACGTCAGTCCATCAACCGTAATGGATTTTATTATGTAAGCATTTTACTTTATAACGGAAATTGCTTAATATCGGATTTATCAGAAATTTATTCAAGATGGAACGAATTCAATTCAGCCTGTCTTGGTAGCGTTTGCTTGCGCTTACTCCCCATTGTTTGCTATAAATGTCTGATTCGTCAGCGATTTTGTAATAAAACCTTTTTCATTATTAAGAGAAACTGATAAGGGTTTATTGGATTTATATTGTAATAAAATCACATAATAGATATAGTCTTAATTAATATTTCAAAGTGATCGAAAATTCATAGCCGGAACTCTTAATTGGTAAGGGCGAGTGGATATTTCGACGTAAATTCATGTGACCTTTAATGTCCTAATTCAGCATCGTGTCTATAAATAGAATTATAATAAAATTTATTACTTCACAAATCTTACTTTTATTTATCTAAACTTACTTTTATTTATCTTTAACTTAAAACACATTTCCAGAACGAAATGTTATTTAATTCGCTTTCTGATAGCATACTCATCATGTATTAAGGCCATTCAGTTTAAAAAGATCTAGAACACAATACATATTGTTGTCTGTTCAGATGGATCCCGAAATACTGATCCTTATCTGAAAGTTATGGTTTAGGGGTTATCTATAGTGTGACAACTTCTTATAGTCTCGTTTATGCAAAAGAAAATATAATATATTTTTACATTAACCATGTCATATTATGAGTAAAAGCACAGAAATCATCTTATCCTTAATATCCACTTTTCTGCCTGAGGTTGTCATTCTTACAATTTAAGACTCATGAATCTTTATGAGCAGTCTTGTAACTCCTTAATAAAATCCCTTTACGTAAAAATCTGTTTTGGATACGGTAATAGTGATAATATTGTACCGTGACGTTGTCATTTCTTTAGATGTGAGTGAGTGAACTAACGAGGCGTGTCGTTGAGCCAAGCTGAAGTACTTTCAAGATAATTACATTATCTCAATAAATCTTGTTTTCATGAACTTCATTATGAGGGAAATAGCAAGAATTTGGTATATTTTTAGAGTTTACAGGTTGACTAATTCATTAGATTATGTAAAAATTATAAAATAGACAATAAAAATCTTGTATAGACGGTATAACGATTAAAAAGATTAATTCACGCAAATTAAGTACGTAGCTGAATGAATTTATAACATAAGAATATCGACATAAATATCCTAAAGCTATGTTGCTTGCAGTATGCATGATATTTGATTCCTACAATTTTTATTAAAAAACAGTTGCAGTCAGTTTAAAAATAAAAATGTATTAAGTTTAAGAAATTTAGTTTTTACTTTTAGAACAATTGCTACTGATGGAAATTACACGCACAATGACCCAAATGAACGGCCAAATGTAGAAAATAGAGTCTAAATTACATTACAGGTCGAAAATTTACTATATTACTTATTGATAATTTAGTTTTTAAATTTGACTGGACTTTTTAAAGTAATTGAAACATTTTTTCAGTTCATCCATTCTAAGCAATTGGAACTCTTTATAAATATTAGTACAGCGAACTTGTGGATCTCGATTTATTTGTCATAAAACATAATGTTATCATTGTTGTTACCAGATGAAGTCGTGGACGGCCCACGAGCAGGACACGACCCTCTCCTGCTGCCGGACTCTGCACGTCAAACACGCAGCATATGCAAGTGCCCTCTACACACTGGTTAGTAGAGTTCTTGTATTTTTTTTTCAAGAAATTGAAATGCCATAATCGTGAGTTTTGGCGTTGAAACTTCTTTTGGTACTACTCTTTTATGTAAATGTTCTATCTATTAAGTGAGAAATCGTTCTAGCTGGTTATATGGTACTCGCACATATGCCATCAAGATGCTCTCAGCATAAAGGATGAAAATGCAATTTATATGAAATAATCTCTGGATTAAAAAGTATTATATAACATTGTCTTATGACTTTTTCGATATAGAATTCTATTTTAAATTTTTAAAATATATTTTAAATGTTACTTGAGTCTTAAAAGTTTCAATTCCTAAATATACGTTCATAACCTGTTTCTACCTCTTCTATATTAATGAAAAAAATAATGATAGTCTATATCTGTCTTCATAATACGATGTATCTTCACGTCATGCATTAAGATTATTTTATCCCTTTAGTCTATATTTATAATGTTAGTATATATGTCATGTTTATCATTGGATGTATCGTTACGTAATAAACGCTTACACTAGCTTCCTATTGAAAACTAGGCAAACAAACCTCAACCTCGCTAGCCTTGTCACTCCCATAGCTTCATTAGTTTTGTCTATTAGGTGCCAGTTACGTGGTTTAGAAAGTCAATATATTTTTCTAATTTTAATTGACAAGAAATTGAGGTTAAAAAATGTTTAAATTTTTCAACCCAACATTGAAACGAGTCATTTGCAAATTGATATGATAATTTTTTTTTAATTTTGTCAATGCCATATACATGCTTCCATTTTTATTTTTATAGATATTTAATCAAATTCTATTTAGTAATTTGGTTTTTCAATCATAGTGATTAGAAAAAATGTTTAATAAAATTATGACCTACTAAATTGTTTTAGTATTGGACTGTCCAATAAATGTATCATTATCATAATGACGATAACGAACATATTGAATGATAATAAAATAATATAAAGTAGTATTATTTATGTAGAACTCTGTTCCTTTCACATAAAATATAGTGTATATTATACATATATATACGTGTATATTATACACACATATAACTATAATATGTATATAAACTATTTAACCCGTAAATATTTATTTGCCGAATATATTATTTCTAGATATGGGCATTCTTATCAAGTAGATTTTTGGGGTACGAAATTAATTACTAGACCTCACAATATGTATCTGTTCTGAGAAACCTTCAGATTCATATAACTTGGTAAAAATTCGTTGACATAAAGTAGACTATAAAAGCATACACCGTAGGCGTCAACACCTAGGGAGATTCGAAGAAAAATTTATATAGATGTGTAAAGAAAGATTTGCTTATAGTTAGTTCAAAATCCACTTACCACGAGCGAATATTGCTTTTCCCGGAAAACAAACAGTTATCTCGAATGTCTGTTGAAGCGTGAAAACATTTCAAATAGATACCTTTTCATGTTTTATCGACAACATTTTCATAGGCGATTCACTTTAGTCAATTTGGAATGTATTATATTGTAGATAAAGTAAATTTGAATTTGTAACGTACTTGTAGTTTGAAATGTAATAATTTGTGGTTGCTACGGAATTATTTACAATTCTTGTTATATGGCCTAGTGTTAGTTATAATACGTTAATAAAGTAAATTATAATTTGTATGCGGACGAAGTGGAAGCGAGAGATATACCAACGAAATCTCTCTACAATATTCTAAAAGATCTTACTGCAGTAAGTTTGTACTAGAACGTATTTGTAAAGCTGTATTAGCAATCTCCTACCAGATTTAGGTTGGCAGGGAGAGAAACACGGCTGGTGAAGGTGAGTGGTGACGTACGTCAGCAAAGGGGTCCCTTACTATGCCCTGTAGAAATGAATGTAGATAATAAATATTGATATATAAATGAAAATAATATACAATACAACTACTTTGTTTAGTAATGAGACTCTGCTTTTCTTGAACGATCCTTAATGCTGAGGATCGCGACTCTACACCATCTTGTCAACCAACTGTCGCTGTCGGTTCGCTGAGACGCTTGGTGTAGTGGGGACTAGTGGACAATAATTTGGTATGTCTACAATAATACAGAGTAACAGATATAGAGAAGTCATAAGTAAGTCAGTGTATGACGTAAGTGTCAGATACGTTAATGTAATATATTTAATGACGAATTAATAAGGATTGACTAGACTTCGTTATTATCTCTAAATCTGTATGTTCATTGTTAGATATCGGGTTTTTATTATTCACTTTATGTCGTGAGTTTGGTACTGTCCTAAAATAAAACGAAAGAATTTAAATACTTCCTAGAATACGAAATAATAGCTTTTCTTTTATTATAATTCGGCAGTAAAATGAAAAATAATCATCTTCTCTTCATTCAACCTGCTTTAAGCGTTATGCTTAGTCTGGCTCAAGTGAACGGAATGCCAATAACTTCAAACTCCATTAAGCTTAATTTACTTGGTCTTCGAATTATCGGGTTCTTCAGAGTTATGACGCTCACTGAGAAGTTTTAAAGTGCATTCACTTGTACCAAATTAGATAATTACTGTTAAATTCGGTAGATATTTACCTATACTAGTATTTTTGATATTGGTTTTTTTATATGTCACTTTTGACTAGATTTCTACTTCGCCGTTTTGGGAAATAAACTCAATTTTTACTATTATTCTGATTTTTAATTAAATAGTTGTTATGTTCCCGCTCCAGTTACACTAGTATATTTTATTTTAATCCCTGTATTAAAATAATGAGATATTAGTAATAAGTTTTTGCCGAGATATACTTGTTATAAATCATCTGTGTGTCACCTGTATCAGCAGCTAAGCAGCGTATTTTATAAGCTGTGGGTTAATTAAAGGGTAATATACAATTATAGGATATAGAGGAAAGATACCTTGCTGCTTAGGAATGGCAACACATGAATCATAAAAATTCGTAGTGATTCATGTAGTACGGTTGCCACTTAACACTTAATCAGGTCAGTAAGGCAGCATGTTTGATATTCTGGTTATTAAAAAAATATGATATTTTAGTGGAAGAAGAGATCTTCAAATTACTCGAGTTGCTAGTACTTATGCCTGAGAAATAAGTCCCTATATCGACCGTCTCAAAATGGAAAGCTGCTGTATCTTAAATTGCACAAATCTTCGGAGCAGTGAGATCACTCCATGAGGTCAGTAGAGATATTAGGAAGCTTCTGCGTTGCATGGTGGAATTCGGCAGTTTGTGGTCTATACTCACATGGGACTGAATTTATTTTGTTATTCATAAAAAAAAATTGATTTACATTAATACTGAAGCAGCAAATATATATAAGATGTGCAGTAAGCACATCTTATATATAAAATTCTCGTGTTATATTGTTATATATTATTATTTACAGTATTTTTTTATGCATATTCAGTAGATCTGAGAATCGGCACTATCTATTTTTCATACCTCTAACTATTAAGGGTTGTTCACCAGTATTTTTTTTTTAATAATTGACTGATTCATTTTTGTTACACCAACTACCCTTATTTTTGAATAGGGATATCAGAACTTAAACTTTATATGGCAAATTTATATATCGTAGTGATATAAATCTTATATTTATCTACTTAATATGCCCTAGTTGGCACCAGATCATACACGATCGTATAGTTGTTAAGAGATGACTTCGCTCAAATTGTGGTCACTTGACCCGTTTTTTGGCACTGATACTAAGAACATCAGCTGATTTGTAAGCAAAGGCTGGTCTTAAAATCTATTGATACACGTTATATTACTTTTTAAGGAATATGATAGTAATGAGAAATAAAGTGGCATAATTGTAATAACAACATACTATGTGAAGCCAACATCCATTTTTCCCCTCTTAAAACCAGAATAACTAAATCCTGATAAATGCTGATTGACGCCACGCTTTTATGATTTTATGCTCATCTTATAAATCCCCATCGAGGCCTTTAGCATATGCGGTTGTCGCAGCTGGCTGTATTATTCCATAATCATAAATTAGAATAATTGCCTTACTATTTTAATTCGTAATTATTTTCACCACTGCACTAGATAATAATAGGGCCATTATGCGAATGATGCTTTCCACAATTTACTTCAAATAAAGAAAACATATCTACGAGTATATTACAAGAGAAGGAAAACCGAAAGTGATTTCCATAGAAAAGCCGGCACCAACGTTAAAATATTAAATATTTCATTATTGTAATGAAAATTTCAGACGAATGTAATGTGACGCCTTTTTGTATTATTGTGGATAGTTTTTGCAGCGTTCTGGGAAACATTAATATCAGCCTTTAATACTAGTGCCATCTGCGTATTCGTTCGCGAATAACTTTTTTTTTATAATCCGATTAGAAGAAAACAAATAATAAATTTTAAGTAAAGCTTCACTCAATATCTTTGTGAAAACTGCACCGAAATCGGTTAAGATCGGTCTCGTTTTGAGATTATCGCACAAAAAACACAGATATACTGACAAACATTCTGACAATAAATATTTTGGGTTCTTTTTTTTATATAGAACAAGGGACAAATGTGCATGCGGCTCACCTGAGGGTAAGTGATTACCGCCGCCCATGAATAACAACACCAGGAGAATTGCACGTGCGTTGTCGGCCTTTTAAAAAGGAATAAGTTATTTTCTTGAAGGATATGGAAAATATCGTATTGGTTCGGAAATATCATTACTGGAAGGTGATACCACACACATGGTTTGTCGGTGCCAAATATTACATTACGTCTATGAAGTCTTTTAATAATAGTTTTTTTATATATCATTCATATAAATACCACATCACATTCTTATTATATGTATGAACTAATTAAGTTATATATTTGTACGTAATATATACGTCAGTTGGTTGAATATCATCTAGGAGCAAAGAGGCGGAAACAAAATTTAATTAACAAGGGACCAACCTGAAATTGAGATTTTTCCATTAAAAAATAATAATTAGATTCACTGTTCACGGTCCGCGAAAATATCGCATAACATAAATATACGTACAGACAAA